AGACCCGAGCACGCAGCCCGTCTAGGGAGACTCAGTGTTGGCTGCTGGCTCTCAGCTTCTCCCGAAAAAACAGAAATGGTGAAGTCAAGCTCATGGGTCTGTGGTCATCGGAGCAAGCGGGGATCCCCGAGACCTCTCTGACCCCACAGGAGCTGGGGCCCAGAGGCATCACCCTGCCCACAGCCTGCTCCTGCACACAGGAGCACTGAACGGGGAGCATCTCCAGCCCAGGCTCCCTTCCCTGTGTGGCCAGCGGCCCAAGAAAGCCTGAGCAGACAGCTGGAAGGATTAAGACACCCCACATTCCGCCCAGGTTCCCCTCACACTGGTGACCGTGCAGAGGACATGGCAAGGATGTGGTGACCCTGTCAGCACTCCTGGCCCTATGACTGCTCCAGCCTCACTCCCCAGACAGGCCAAAGGCCTATTCTGTGGGGGAAGGGGCAGTGTGGGCCGAGATGGTGAGTCTTCCCCAAAGGCAGCCCCAGGGGAAACTGTGACATCAGGAGCAGGTGGGCTTGTGGGGCGCCCTATGCGGTTTCCTGGCCAAGCAGAGCTGCGGAAGTTTCCAGACTGGCAGGGCGCTCCCCCAGGGTCCATGGGGGCCTTCAGGAAGTGGGGCCCAAAAGCAGGCGGGGAAGGCCCAAAGGAGGGGTCCCCCACTGACAGCGGGAAAAAAAGAGGCTGGTCCAAACCCCACTGGGCCTCCTGCAGTTCTTACAGATATTTAATAAAAATGGAGCTGGCAGGGCACGTGTGGGTACCATCTGGGCATGGAGGGGAACATCCTTCCCTGGCGGGGGGGATGGAGGAGCTGGCACCTCTGCCCTGTTACACTCGCCTCCATGGGACTCACTCCAGGGGACTCAGTCCCCAGGGAGGGGCGGCTGTGGGCTGCTGTCCAAGGTGCAAGGGTCGAGCTTTGCAGAAAACCCACCTAGCCCTTTTTCTGGAAACTTCCTTAAATGATGTGGCGTGCAGGGCCGGCTCCCCCGGCAGCCAAGTAAGCATGAGCCAGCCTCAAGATGCCTCTGACTTCATAAGGTTCTACCTTGCACGCAGGAGGGCTGGGAAAACTCACTGCACCCCAAAAGAGAGCAACAGTGTGACTGGGGTGGCTGTCTTGGGCAGCGAGAATGTTCTCGCAGGTGCCAGGGGCTGGGGGAAATCTCATCTCTCCGCAGATGAACTGGGTCTGGGTCTGGAGAATTCTGGATAGCCACGGCCCAGAGGCTGCCGGGCGGCCGGAAGTGAGGCGACAGCCAGCCAGACAGATGGGGACATGCTCAGCCTCGAGCTGGTGGGCGGGTGGCAGGTTTAAATTCCTTGTTGTGATGGTGCTGGGGGGTTGTCGAAGGGATGAGGGGAGGAGGTGGAGGGACCAGAGCAGCGAGACTCGCCACTCCTGCACCAAGGCGCTCAGTGGGGGCACCAGAGCCCCAGGTTCTGGGCACACCCGCAAGTATGCGCTGGCCAGCAAAGGGGAGAGCGGACAGTGGGAGATTCTGAGGAAGCAGAGGCTGCGTGGAGCGCGGTTCTCGCTCCTCCCCTTGTGAAACCAGGACCAGAGGGCCGAGATGCTGGCATGTACAGCCACAGGGATGGAGTAGGGCCAGCCATGGGCAAGAGATGGACCCAATCTGAGATGTTGCTGGGCAGAGCTGCTAGCCCCTGGGGCATCCTAGCTCCAGGTACCAGACATAGCCACCAGCAGCCGGGCATAGCCTGCACCAAGAAGTCTTTGGTGATGCAGGAGTGAATGAACGGCCCAGGAAATGATGGTGCCCAGAGATTGCCCGGCAGCCAGGACAGTGTGTCCCCGTCACAGGCACTGGTGGAGTGGGCAGCAGTGGGGAGAGAAAAGCAGCCCAGAATTTGGCCCCCAGCCCAGAGTTCACCTGGGGCTGCTTGTGCTAGAAGGGAGAGGAAGGTGCTACCCACTGCATGGAGCCCCTTTTGCCCAGGGGGCTCCTTGGCCTCCATCACTGATGCAGAGTAATGGGTGCCCACTCTGAAATGGTAGAGAACACTGCCCAGGAGGGGAGCAGACCTGGGGCGCCCATCTCTCCCAAGCAGTGCACAGACAGCTCTGGAAAAACCAGGAGAACGCCGTTAAAGATGACAGTGGGAGGGGGAGGGGTCCTCTGCAGAGGCGGCCAGGGGCCACCTGCTGAGTAGGAAAGACCCAAACTGGGGATAATGCAAAGGAAAGGGACCCTGGAGGCATCCCAAGCAGAAGCCAGGGCAACCCCATGATCAGGGGACAATCAGACAGACAAGGAAGGCTGCTGGCGGGAAACGAGAAGCAAGGGGACCACCGGGTGCTGAGGAAAGTGAAAACAAAACCAAGCATCCTGGGCAGGTTAGAAGGAGAGAGCCGGACGGCAGAGCCTCCGAACAGGGGTGAGGGCTAAGAGAGCAGAGAAAGAGACGCAGAACAAATGGGCACCCGTGGGCCACGCCAAGCACAAGGAAACGACTTGCTCTTTCCAGCCCTTTCCAGGGCCCAGGACAGGGCACCACCTGAGGGTCTAACAGCCCAGGGCAGTAAAGGACATGCACAACAAAGGATCAGCCAGGGGCTCCGAGAAGGGAGAAGGGCTGGGAGGCACCTGAAGTCAGTCATCACATGGATGGTGGAAGAGGTATCCAACACTCTACCTGGTCCCACTTGGTGGGGGGCTAGAGAAAGCCCTGGGGGGAAGGACCTCCCAGGTACTCTGGTTCAGGGACTGACCGAGCCCCAGGCCCAGCAAACAAAACCTAGAGTGGATGACAAGGCAGCAGCACTGGGGCCTGGCTCATACCCTGGTGCAGCCCTGGTTTACAAGCTGGAGGGGGCTGGAGAAGCCACGTGGGGGGTTGCGCGAGCATCCGTTCAGATCAAAGGGCCAGCCCGGGAGTCAGCACGGGCCTGGCATGCTTGGGGCCCTGGGCCAAACCCCAGCACTGCATGGTCTCCCGAGCACTGGTGCTCCCCAAATGTAAAGGAGCACAAGGATGGCCTGCAGAAGGCAGGCGTGAGGAGGAAGAGCTCGAAGAGGGGCAGTGTGACTTCTGGGAGCCCGCTGGTGTTCACGGGCTGAAGCTGAGACACTGCACGCAACTGACCTGGGTTCAATCCCCAGCACCCCATAGCGTCCCCTGAGCACCGCCAGGAAGTAATCCCTGAGCACAGAGCCTGGAGTAAGCCCTGAGCACTGCCAGGTGTGCCGGTCCCCACTGCCCCCAAGAAAAGCCTTAGAGTATCTGCCACTTTTTAAAGTCTCAACGTGCATTACTTGGGTGAGTTTACAATAAATAAATGGACCCGGCTTGAAATTTTGTTCCCTATAAGCCAATATGCAAATGATACATACAGTTTCCCCTTCTCAGTCATTTAAAAATTGGTTGGCTGCCAATCGGAAACAATTTTGAGGCACCAAGGCCAAATGATGGGTGAAACAATATGACATTGATGGTTGAAACAATATTACAAATCCCCAGAGGTAAGAAAGTTGCACGTTGAAGCCATTCACATTTGGGTCCCTCTTCTCCCAGCACTGGAGCTTTCGTGTCTGTCCCTCGGGACGGTCAGTGCTGCCGGGACACTCACACATGGCCTTTAGAGGGACCCTCTCCATGCTCCCAGCTGCTTCTAGCCTAGCCTGGGGGCTCGGCTGCTCTTGGGGGTCGCCTCAGAGCCAGTAGGGGCCAGATCTGAGCTGATGTCACTCCCACCCGTATGCTCTCGGCTGGATGGTGACACATTCCTTGGGTCCTGCTGGAGTCTGCAGCCTCACAGCTAGCTGCTCGGAACAAGCCATCGCTGGCCACTGGCCGTAACCTCGGTCCACCTGACCTGCCTTTCTGGGTGCAGCTCGACAATCAAAAGGCTCCGAGGCTCCCTGAGAGCTGGACATTGGGCTAGGAGTGCCTGGGAACACGCTTGGGGAGGGGAGGCCAGCAGGGAGAGTCATGGAAGGACCATGGACAAGAGGAAGAGGAAGACTGGGACCTCCCTACCACCCTGGATTCTCGAGGTTTCTAGAAACTTCTTTGGGCATGGACTGAGGATGGTGAGCCTTGCATTGTGGGTGACCGAGGCTTTCTCAGGGCAGGAGTCCGTGGGACCATGCCCAGTGCACCCCACTTTGGCACGCCTCCACTCAGCCCCTCTGCACTCCTCCTCAGGTGCCGGGCTGCAGCCTCCGGGGCCCGGGGAGGGGCACAGAGAGACTCAGGAACCAGTGATGGAAGTTGGTGGGAGGAGGGGCTGTGTGGGGGAAGGGGGAGGGGCCCCGTGTCACCCAGCACCCTGCTTTCAACCCCCTCGAGGCTGTCCCCCTAAAAGTGTTTATTTGAAAGGAAGGTCCTGTGCATGGAAAAAGTGGGGAAATCCGAGTTTGACCTCAGCGCAATCACAGCATCTTTCTGAAACACTTCCCCTCGGGCCCCCCACCCCATGAAATCAGGCTGAAAAAGCGCTTCCTCCACTTAACCCAGGACATGGCCTTCACCTCCAGCCCAGGCTCTGTGCTTTTCGGGGTATTTCCTGCGCCCACAGTTTCAGGCTGGCCGTCACAGGCGCACAGGTGCAGCCACTCACCCCTGCACGCATGAAAACCTCCCCGCTGGGAGAAAAACATGACAATCTCCTTTCCAGGAGTCTGCCTGGGGCTGCCCTCTGTCCCACCCCCCCACACCCCTCTTGCCGCACACCCTCTCCCCGCTTCTGCCCCCCGACCCTCATCTGAGAGCTCAGTGACTCAAGCCCGTCCTGACCTTCCAGCCAGCCTGGGATGAGCCGGACTCGGGTGCCAGCTAGGACCCTGCCATGCCGATGCCGCCCGCGCTAAGGGACCGAGCAGCGGGCACAGCCCCGAGCCCCGAGTTCACAGCCAGACAAGCAGCGTGAGGACTTACAGAGGAGAAGGGGTGCGGGCAAGGGAGGCGGGAGGCTCGGCCGGTTGCCTGCTCCGATGTCCTCTGCAGCCCGTACGCGGGGAGGGGGTGGTCCAGACCCAGGGCCCAAGGGAGGGAGCGGGGCGGGCCCCGGGCGGGCCCCAATGTCTTTATTGCCAGGTCGCGCTCAGAGCCTGTTGACGTCCAGCTGCGGGAAGAGCAACAGGCAGTACACCAGCAGCCAGAGGAAGAGGATGAAGTACATCATGTCGGGCTGCTGCACCAGCTGCGTCAGCGAGTCGCTCCGCGCGGCCTGGCCCTCCTGCGTCATGGTTTCTCCCGAGCTGGTGGCCTTCCTGCAGGAAGAGACACGGCAACGCAGTCACTTGGGGGGTCCTGGCCCTGCATGCCCCCACTGCGCTGCCCGGGGGAGCCCTGCATCGGCCCCCACCCGCCTCTCTCCGCTCATGCGGGCATGAAGGTAGGTGCTGGGCTCCGGGAGTGTCACCAGCTCTGTCCGTTAGCGCAGATGGGCACCCGGGGGCGGGTGAGCCGCAGAGGCTGGCCCACAGCCACGCAAGCACCTTGGGACAGCATCACACCCTGGCTAGCTCGATCACCCGACCCAGACCTTTCCTCTAGTGCCCTGAACTCTGGGCCGGCTTTGGACCCCTTATTCCTGACACAGGGCTGGAGCGATAGCACAGCAGTAAGGTGTTTGCCTTGCACGCAGCCAACATGGCCGACCCGAGTTCGATTCCTCCGCCCCTCTCGGAGAGCCCAGCAAGCTACTGAGAGTATTTCACCCGCACGGCAGAGCCTGGCAAGCTCCCCGTGACGTATTCCATATGCCAAACATAGTAACAACAAAAGTCTCCAATGGAGACGTTACTGGGCCCGCTTGAGCAAATCGATGAACAACAGGAGGACAGTGAACAGTGAATTCCTGACATACCCAGAAGAGCAGAGAGGTTTAGTTCTTTTCTCTGATCCCTGTCCTGACCCCCCTCCACAGTGCTCAGGAGGCCCCAGGGCCATTCCTGGTGATACTCAGGTCCAGCCTTACATGCCTGGTGGTTCACGGCTGGCGCCTGACAATGTGTGTCCATTCAAGGCGAGCAGCACCAGATGCCACCAGGGTGACCACCGGCAGTGCTCAGGGAAGCACACAGGGTAGCAGCCTCCGAGCTCTGTCCTGGCTCAGCAGAGAAAACCTCCAGCCAGGTCCGCTCCCGCCTTGTCTGGGAACCTTGTCTGGGGGTGTTGGAATCGATGCTTTCAAATAAAGGCTGGCTTTGGGCTGGGACTATAGCACAGCAGGTAGGGCCTTTGCCTTGCACACAGTCAACCCGAGTTGGATCCCCGGCATCCCATATGGTCCCCCAAGCACCGCCAGGAGTAATTCCTGAGTGCAAAGCCAGGAGTAACCCCTGAGCATCACTGGGTGTGACCCCCCCCCCAAAAAAGAAAAAAAGTCCAGGACAAAAAAAAATAAAATAAAATAAATAACATTTAAATAAATAAATAAATAAATAAGGTCTGGCTTTGATTAGAGTTGGATGAAGCACAATTTTCTACTAATGTTTGGGGGCCACACCCAGGGGTATCCCTGGCTTACTCCTGGCTCCGTGCTCAGGGATCACTCTAGAGGGGCCTGGGAACCATAAAGGATGCCAAGGATGGAACCCAGAGTAGCCGTGTACAAAGTAAGAGCCCTACCCACTCCCCTATCTCGCTAGCCCCCCAGGATTTAGCATTCTTGTATTTTGCAGATGGCCGTGTTGTTATGATGGCCTGCTTTTTTGGCCCAGCAGATAAAAGAACGCGTGGAAGGATGTGGTGATCGCCCAGCTCAGTTCTAGACTTCTGCCAGGGAAGGGTGGGGGGAGGGGGGGCCTGGCCTGACGGGAGGAGACCCAGCCTGAAGTCACATGTCTACAGGAGCCCAGAGCTTGGGCCTCTGAGGGCAGAGATGGGAGCAACAAGCCCTGGGCCATGGGTCCTGGGACAAGGAGGGGCAGGCAGGGGACAGCAGTGCCTGGTCTAGGACAGCAGGGCCTTCAGGCAACCTGGCAAAAGCTGCTTTTCCTCCAAAGCGTTTGGAGAGAAAACCCACTCCCTGCTGGGGATCATTGATTTTCCCCAAGGCCAAGCAAGCCCAAACCAGGAGCACACGGCCGTTCTCAGACCCATGGCCCCAGCGCAACTCTCGGGCACACACAATCGGTTGGACGGTCCTTCTTTCCCTGCCTGTGACCCTCAAGACAGGGAGGGGGTTTCCTTGGCCCCTTGGAGTAGGAAGGGGAGCCAGGCTGCTCCCCGGTTTAGAAGCCAGGGGGTGGGTGCTAAGAGTGGCCATGCTGGCCAAGGAAGAGTGCGGTGCTGAAGAGTGCCGGAGGGAACTTTCTAGTTTCATCGTTAACATCCTTCTAAACCAATTCCAACCAGTAGCAAAGATGGGAGGGAAAAAAAAAATAAAAGGACACAACTGAAGGGGGCTGGACATTTTCCAGGGCATGGGAGGCTCTCTGCTCCCCTCGGATACGAGCGGGCACTTGGGCCCACACTCCTGTGACCTGGAGCTCAGGAGGTACGTTCTCGCCTTCCCGTTTTCTTCCATCTGCCGCTGAGTCACTCCTGTCCCGGGAGTGGGATCAGGGGACTCTGCCACAGGCTGACTGTGGGAGGTGCGGGCAAGTTTAATTAAATACTGCTTGTTGTTTAAGCACGGCTTGCGGGCACCCGGCCGCTCCCCCGGGAGACGTGGTGAGGCTGGGCATCCCTGGGGATGCGTCTGTCTCCTTTCCAACCCGTGTGTGCCCAGCGAGTGGCAATCTTTCTGACTCTAGTGCTCTTAAGTGTACGGAATACTTTCATAGACATCCTGGCTTGTTTGCTTTCCCTCTTCATGTCAGCTCTGATGCCATAAAACTGTAAAGTCACCTCAGTGAGCTTCTCAGTATTGTACCTGCAGTGATGACACAGAACCGACAGCGTCAGCCCGGGGACGCGGGGCGACAAGGCCCTATCTCTGCTGAGGATCCCTGTGGTCTGCCGTCGCTGAGTTTTTCAAGGGGCGGGGGTGGGGCTGGAGCGATAGCACAGTGGATAGGGCGTTTGCCTTGCACGCAGCCGACCCGGGTTTGATTCCCAGCATCCCATATGGTCCCCTGGGCACCACCAGGAGTAAATCCTGAGTGCAGAGCCAGGAGGAACCCCTGTGCATTGCCGGGTGTGACCCAAAAAGCAAATAATAAATAAATAAATAAATAAAATAAAGCCACATGATGTAGCATTTATATCAGAAACTTAAAAAATTAAAAAAATAAACAAAGGGGCAAGGCTCCTCACCCAGACCCATCTTCATTATTCTATTTTGTGTTGTGGCTTTGGTTCTGTTTTTTTTGGGCCACACCCGGCTGTGCTCAGGGTTTACTCCCGATTCTGTGTTCAGGGACCACTCCTGATGACCATATGGGGTGCTGAGGACTGACCCCAAGTTGGCTGCATGCAAGGGAAGGGCCCTAACCACTGTGCTATCCTACATTTCCAGTTTCTAATTTTGGGAAGTGGAGTTCGCCAGCAATTCTCAGGGGCCTGGGAGCCACTCCTGGGGACCTGGCAGTGTGAAGCATTTCAGGTTCAGAAGTGTCGGGGAATGAGGACCACATTGGGCATGGATGGGTGGACAGGGGTTTGGGGGGCAGTGGAGGCCCAGGGTCACACTGGGTAATGCTCAGGGATCTATGCAGTGCTAGGGACTGAACTCAGGGTTCTGGTAAACTGTCTACTGGACTATCTTCCAAGTGGGGGTATCGTCTAAGCCCTGCCCAGAGGGGTGAACTCATCACCGTTCCCTTCACACTCAGAGCCAACTCCCCGTGTCAACTCAGGCCAGGGTGGATGAGGGCCACCCCCTGGAGGCAGGGGCTGGAACGGAGGGGGGAACCCCAACATGTAAGCACACCCAGAAGGAAGCGGCAACACCACGCACCTGTTTAACATTCGGTTTCTTCTGTCATCCACATCAGCTGCGTTCCTCAATTGAACATAGCTAAAATGGTCCTACAGTGAAATTTATAAACAAAACCCGCAACCCAATTAGTAAAGATGAAATCTCTGAAACAGAAAATAAAATGATTTTGAACACAGAAAGCTGAGCACACCACGCTTTTCTCGGTGCTGTAAACATCTAAGTTTCAAAAGCAAACTAAGAAACGTTCTCCGTTATTCTACCCTCTCCCCACCTCCTCCCCGCAATAGTGGACCCACCACCCACACACAGCAGACCATGGAGCTAGGGGTTACCCGCACACCTGGGGCTCAACAGCTGAGAATCTAAGATACACCATCTTTGAATGTGATTTCTCCAGGGCTGGGATGGGGGAAGGGGTGGGTTTGGCTGCATCTTACTGGGTTTTTTTTTTTTTTTGTTCGTTTTTGTTTTATAACAAAGAGGCCTTCGGGCTTTTAAATCACTTTATTTAACATCCCTTACTGCCCAAACTGGACATCCGATTGGATTGTGCCTAACGACAAGATTTCATTGCCTGTCTTCTATCCAAAAGTACAGCTGTTGCACGCCAGTAATGTCAGAGCTCTGGGCTGGGGGAGGAAGGGCGGAAAGGAATTGATTAGCCGGGGACTGAAGGAGCAAGAAGAAAGTCACATACTAACCGATTCCAAAGACCTATTAGTATGTCGTCGAATGTAAATGCTGGAATCACTGTGGCTGGTCCTGCAAAGGAAACGCAGGTGGTCAATTGCAGCCCTCAGTGCGCATGCTCGGGGGCGGCCACGCCCAGCCGCGTCTTCCACCGGCGGCTTCTCGGCGAGACACGAGAAAAGATGAGAAAGGTTATCCGCGTGTCCACCTGCACCGAAGCCGTGCCAGTCAGGAGGATGGACACTTCAGAGACCCTTGGGGGCCGTGTCTACAAGAAGCAAATACAAAAAAAAAAAAGTTTGGGAGAAAGAATTTTACAGGGAAAGCTGATCACATACTCTTGTCTGTCTGCTCTTGGGCCAACACCAGGTGATGCTCAGGGCTCGCTCCTGACTCTGCGCTTAGGGGACCATCTGGCACGCCCAGGTTGACTGCATGCAAGGCCAGCACCGTACCCCGTAGTACTATCACTGCAGCCTGCATCACAGGTTCTTAAAAGTGGCTGGAACGGCAGGTGGCAGGATCCCTGAGGTCCAGGCAGAAAACTCTGGACCTGTTTGATGATGAAGAATGAGGAAAGGGCTGTTGACCCCTAATCCAGCCGGCTGGCCTAGCACGAAGCCAAGAGAACCTGCCCGGAGTCTGGTCTTCACTCTGGCGCCCCTGTGAGGTGCTATCAGTTTGTCTCACCCGTAAAATGGTCCTGCACCCCCCTACCCACCAGCCTTATGGCGGAGGCAGAGCTGAGCAGTGCTTGAGCTGGTAGAGACCCTTCTAGCCATTTCCCACCCACATTCCCCTTTCACCAGCCCACACGGGAGAGCGCAGCGCTGTTACAAACTCCGGATCCGTGCCGCGGCGGATTCTGAAATCCTGGTGGCTTGCTGAGTTGTTTGCTCGTGGCTGTGGCTCTCTCCTGGAATGTCAGCCTCCTCCCGACTCCAAACGCTACTTATCCCATGGATTCCGGTCCAGGGGGACCCCAGTCCCCCGCACACTACCTCCCTCTGAAATGTGAGCTCCTGCCCACCCACCCAGAGGTTGAGAATGGCACTGGGCCCCCACAATCACCCAGCAGCTGGTCCTCAGGAAGCCCTGTGTGTGCCTCCCTGGGTGCCAGGGCACAGTCAAACCTGGTCCAATGACCAGCATGTGAGTGGTGTGGGGGAGGCACCCCACTCCTGCCCCCCACTCCCGCAGGCTGTCAAGTATCCAGCTGCCATCTGAGCGGAACCAGTTGCCATAGTCAGGGAGAGTCTGAACTCAGACACAGTGAGAGGCAGCAAAGCACCAGCAACCCATCAGCCCTCCCAGCCCAGGCTGCTCCGGGGACATCCCAGTATTCCGGTGCCCACCCTGCTTCCATCCATCCGCTGGGCCAGGTACATGAACTTGGAAATGAAGCCTGGGGAACTTGGGTCCCACCCCCCCCCCCCGCCACCTCGGGTGCCTCGTAGCTGAGAATGCGTGCGTTGGTCCCACACTTGCGTGCCCACCATAGTGATGGAACATCCCGTAAGACTGGGAGTGGGGGCACCAGTGCTCTCCCCCCTACCCCCCTGCCAGGTCTGAAGGTGAATGTGCTGGCGAGAGTCGGAAGAGACCGGGTTTGGCTCCAGATAGCTCTGAACCCAAGTCCACACTGGGATATATCCAGCTCATGTGGTGTCATGGAACAGAGCTGACGGAGCGGCCAGCATCCTGCCTCTTCCGTCTCCATCCCCAGAGATACCCAGCATCCACGCACCAGAGATGCCAGCCGGCGGAGTCCACGTCACGTCCAGGTCCGTGTGACAATGACGACCCGGTCCCCCGCGCAGAGACCAGCTTCACTATGAGGCTCATAACCAGGTCTGTTCAACACTCTGCCTAGAACCCCCTGCCCCCACCTTCCACCTTGGTCACCAGGGGGCTAGCAGAGCGCCCCCCCAAGTCCATGTTACTGCAGGCATGGAGGAGAGACGGCTGTGGGGTCCACACAGGGGCCGCCACGAGCAGGTCTGCCCAGGGCGACCCATTTCCTGTCTCGAGCTCCCCGCTCCGGTCAGACACCAAGGTGGACAGCTGCAGACATCTGCCCAGGGGTGGCGAGCGCAGCAGTACCTGGACTGGACTCTGTATTCGTTGGCCTCCTCCTCCTCCTCCTCCTCCAGGTCCTCGGAGGATCGCCCAGATTGGGGCGCCGTGAACAGTGCACTGTCCACGCAGCCTACGTGCTTCCTCTTCTCCTTTTTCTTCGTGCTGGTTGATTCTTCGGTGACCTTCGCTTCTGCTGGCTTTGCCGCCTTCTCCGAGTCGGAGGGTTCCTGGGTTTCAAGACAAGACAAGAGGGTCCAAGTCAGCCTTGAGAGATGGCCAGGGGCACCATCTCTGGGCTCTGGTCCCCTCCAAGCTCCGCCCTTGGGACCTGCTACCCACTAGTGCAGCTCAGCCTGGCCCTGGCCCCTGGGCGGAAGTTCAGGGGCAACAACCAAGTGGGGAGATGGCCCGGGGTCAGGGGCTGTGAGCTCTGCTCTGTCCGCACCTGACCTCGAGTACCTCACTTTCTCCAACCCCCCCATTTCCGGTCCGACAAACAGGGTTCATGAGTTCCCACATCTTCCCACACTCAGTACCACGGGCCGTCCTCCGGCCCTACGCACCAGCCTTCCACTTAGACACAGAAATGAATCTGGGAAACCAGGCAGGGCGGGGGGGGGGGGGGGTGCCGTGGTGGTGGACCCTGCACTTGCAAGGGGTCACATCAGGCCACCACAGACTGGTGAGTGGATCCTCCAGGGTCTCTTGCCAGAGGCAGAGCAGAACACACGGTGCTATCTCTCTCGGAACGCCTCTGCCCCCTGAGGAGCACTCTCACCCGAGCACCCTGGGCACCCTGCATCCACATTGGGGGGAACGCTGGTGCCTCAACTCTCCAGAATCCCTTTGGGGGCTGGGAGGACCTTCTCAGCAAGTTGACTCAAGCACCAGAGCAAGTAGGACTCAAGCACCCAGAGTCGCAGGGTCGTCTGAGCCCCTTCCCTCGGCAGAAAGGGACAGGAGGAGACAGGCGAGTGGCTTTATTCTGCGGGGAGGGGGAGGGTTAAGGTCACACTTGGCAGTGCTTAGGGCTCACTCCTGGCTCTGCACGCAGAGACCACTCCTGGCAGGACTTGGGGGACCCTCTGGTATGCTGACTCTACCCCAGCTTGGTGCGTGTGAGGCAAACACTTTAACCCCAGTATTATCTGTCTCTGGGGCTGGAGCAATAGCACAGCGGGTAGGGCGTTTGCCTTGCAAGTGGCCAACATGGCTGACCCAAGTTCAATTCTTCCACCCCTCTCGGAGAGCCCAGCAAGCTACCGAGAGTATCTCACCTGCACGGCAAAGCCTGGCAAGCTCCCCGTGACGTATTCGATATGCCAAACACAGTAACAACCAAGTCTCACACTGGAGACGTTACTGGGCCCACTTGAACAAATCGATGAACAATGGGAGGACAGTAACTGATTATTATCTCTCTGGCCCTCAAATCTAAAGACTCAGAAGAAGAAAATGCTGTTTTCAATCCTTTTAGAGGGTGAGGGGGGGTCACATACCAAGGACCTCCCCACCCCATCCTAGATCACAGTTGGGAGGTTAAACACACAGACTGGCCTGCTACTAGGGAGGAGGGGTGCTAGCCCTCTCCCCACTCCGCAGATCACAAGGCCAGGAGTCAAGTACGGGGGGGGGGGGGTGAGCCTGTGTGCAGCCCCGGACCCTTTGCTGGTCTCATTCTTTGCCGTCATCTGCTCCTTCTCCTCAGTTCCTTGGGGGCTGGTGTCTGCAGCACCAGAGATAAGAATCCCACTTTGCTTATCCCGGGCGTGGTAGGGGTGAGAGGAGCAGGGCGTGGGGGGGGGGGGAAGGTGGCTCGTGGACCCAACCCCCAGGCAGCATGGTGCAGGGGTGCACTCCAGAGAGTGGGGACTCTGGAGGGGGTGTACACTGCTGTACACCAGTGTATTAACACAGAGACCCCTCCCCCCATCCCCACGGCCCCTCTGCTGAGGAGACAACGCAGGTCGGGGAGGCAGGTGTTGACCCAACAGCAGGATGTATATGTCCCTGCACCCCACTCACCCATCCCAGAACCCCCGAGCTGGCTGCCAGCACCCCACAGGGCGGATGCAGACACAGGCATTAGGCACACGGCTGGCGGCAGAGCGCAGACCTCACGTGTCCCAGGCTGAGGGTTCCACACCCAGCGCTGAACACTGCATCTGTCATCTGTGAGATTCGAACTCACTTCCTGGGCCCTGAGCATCCCTGTAGGCAGGACTGACGCCCGTCACGGACTCCGGGGGTGAGAGAGTCCCGTGTTCAAATACTACAGAGAGGGGCTGGAGCGATAGCACAGCGGGTAGGGCATTTGCCTTGTACAAGGCCGACCAGAGTTTGATTCCCAGCATCCCATAGGATCCCCTGAGTACCACCAGGAGTAATTCCTGAATGCATGAGCCAGGAACAATCCCTGTGCATCGCCGGGTATGACCCAAAAAGCAAAAAAGCAAAAAAAAAAAACAAAACAAAACAACAACAAAAACCAATTACTGCAGAGACACCAGCCTTGCTCTGAGCCCATGAAGGCCTGTTCTGATGGCCTGAAACTTGGCCATCACCCCCTCCCCCACCCCGCTTAGGGACAGACCAGAGGAGGAACCTCACCTGGCCCTTACAGCAGCTGCAGGACGTGGGGAGCAATGATTCCCCAGGGGCAGTGCTTGGTGGTGACCACTGACCATCACTGTCCCAAATGGCTGTCCCCCTCAGGGGGCCCCAGGAAGAGCTCAAGAGACTTAGAATGTGCCCGGCCGGAAGCTCCAGGCCTGGCAACACCACACACATACTGAGAGTAGATTTGGCAGCTGGTGGTCCGGGGCCCCTGGGCCTGAGAATCAGCAGTGCAAGCGAGCACCTCGGCCGAGGAGTGTGGGTGTGAGTACTGCTGGGTGTGAGTACTGCAGTGACCCCCATGAGCACCATGACCACAGAGGATGACCCTGTCATCACCCATCAGTGATATGGAGGGCAGGCAGGGGGAAGGGAGTGAAAAACCACAAGGGCTCTGCCCAATGCAGCGAACCCCCAGACCCAGCCTTACTGAGGGGGCAGCCCTGGGGGAAGGGCCACGGAGGACACTCTCCGGGTGCAAAACGGAAGGAAGACACACTCTGGGGGGGGGGGTCGGCCTGCACCCCAGCGAGCATCTCCTTAGCTTCCGGTCCTGGGCGTGGTGGAGGAGGGAACCCCTACCAATCCCCCCATCTCCCTACTTGATGGAGCTACAGGAAAGGTTAGAGTCCCGCGGACAGCATTCGAGACCCCCAGACCCCCATCCACGTACCTGCTGCGTCTCCACAGGGGTGCTCTCGGGGACCTTGCTGGGGGGCTGGGCAGCCGGGGGTGTCGGGGGCGTGAGCACTGGGATGGGTGACTCGTCGTCATAGTCATCCGACTCCCCCTCCAGGCTGGGTTCCTGGTCGCTGTCGGGGGTTTGGTCCTCATCCTGCACCCCGCGGCCCTGCACACAGGCCTCCAGCTCCTCCAGCCCTTCCTCCTCCTCCTCCATCTCCGCCTCCTCCTCCTCCTCGTTCCTCATGTCCTCGGCGCCTTCGGCGTAGGCCTCCAGCACGGCCGACAGGGGCACCTCGTAGTGCGGGTAGTAGAAGAGATCGTGGGGGATGACGGAGATCTTGGACAGGGGCGGGGAGCGCTTCAAGTCCAGGCCGTCCTGGCTATGGCTCTGCAGCGTCTCCAGGCTGGCGCTGACGCTAGGCGGGTGGGGTTCCGGGGGGCTGCCGTCCTCCAGGCTGCGGCGCCGGCGGCCCGGGGACTTGCACTTGGCCTTCTCGAACACCTCGGCCTTCCTGGCCTCGGGCGCCGGCTCCTCTGGGTCGGGTGTCTTGTGTGCGGTCTTGAAGCTCCTCTTGCCTGGCTTCTCTGCAGGTTCCTCCTCCTCCTCCTCCTCCTCCATCCCCTCTTCCTCCTCCTCCTCCCTCTCTGCGGCGCCCCTGTCCTGGTGCAGGGGTGCAGGCTCGTCTCCGAAGGCCTGCTGGCTGGTGCAGGCATAGTCGACCAGGTCACTGTTGAATCTGGAGGCTTTCAAGGGGATGCCCTCGAAGCCGTCCTCCTCCGTCAGGGCCTGCGTGGTCAGCAGTGGGACCTTGAGCTCCAGGGTGGAGGCCAGAATGGGGCTGTCCCGGGCAGGCGAGCATGAGCCACCCTCTTCCCCCGGGCTGGCTGTGCCGTTCCAGGAGGGCGGACTCGGGGAGCCCTGAGCAAGCCTGTCCATGTTGGCCACTGGAGACCCGGCCCTTGGGGTAACGGGGGTAACGTCGGAGGCGACTTCTGGTTTGGGCCTCCTCTCATCCTCTATCAGTCCAGCGGCCAGCCCGGGGGCATCCTGGGGCCAGCCTGGCGACGGCTTTCGGGCCTCTGGGGGGCTCCCTTCGAAGCTCAGGTTCTGGCTGTAGAGCGTGTCCTGGCTGCACGAGGTGTCCTTGTAGAAGTCGGCCTCGAAGTGGACCGTCTTCCTAATGGGCAAAGAGCTGGACCTCCGGTTCTCCTTCCTGCAGGACAGGATGGAAGATTCCGGAAGGGGCTCGCTGCTGCTGCTGCCGCCGCTGCTGCTGTCCTTCCCCACCACTCCCGAGAGGACCTGGCAGAGGACCTGGTCCACGATCTCAGGGGGGCTGTCAGCCATGAGCATGTCACTGTCGCTGCTGTCCGGCGGGGAGCTCTCCTCCACGCTGGCCGACTTGTCGGGGACGAAGACCCTGGAGGGGCGCGGGTGCACGGTCTCGTGGTTCACCAGGCGGGTCGGCTCCCCGTTTTCGGACAGGAGCAAGACTTTGCTCTCCTGCTCAGCCCTGGCCTCTTTGATGCGGACGAACGTGGACTCGATGGGGGCTTCCCTGTCCGAATCCACAGCCTCGTCCTGCAGGGAGACAGGACGAGATGGAGTCAGAGGCGCGTGCAGGCACCACTGGGGTGACCCCCACAAACACCCACCATGAGCCTCCTCCGGGGGGCCTGGCGGCAAAGATTCTGCTGAACAGGGAAGCGGGGGCCACCAACTCGGGTTCTCACACCAAACCAATGACAAAGACGCTTAAAGCTACGGTGGCAGAGAAGCCTCAATGCACTGAGCCCTTCTCTTGCTTCCTGGGAGCCTTTCAGAGCACCGGCAAGCTCGGTCCCAGGGCACAGTGGAATGGAGGCACCCCAAGTGCCCCAAGAAGTCAGAGTGCTGGGATCCAGCATTACTGCCATAATGCGTTCACCAATGCCCAGGAAGGTCAGAAATGATGAGGTGCTCCCAGGAGGTGCTCCTGGGAGGTGTTCCCGGGAGCTCTCTGGAATAGCCACTACTCCACCCCACCTTGGCTGGTCTTTTCTACCTCTCATCAAGCTAACATTTTAAATTTTCAGTTGAAAAGGTAACATTCATTTTTTTGTGTGGGGGGGACAATTCCCAAGGAGTGCTCGGGAGGCCTGGGGGGTCATTCCTGGCAGTACACAGCTCTGAGTACTGGCTGGTGTGTCAGGCTCAGACCCCAAGATGTGGTGGCTGGTCAGGCCCAACGGTGTCGGGGACCAGCAGGGTCACTCTGGCAGTGCTCAGGCCTTGGTGGGGGGGTCACACCCTGTGAAGCTCAGGACATTGTATGGTGTTGGGGATTAAACCTGGGTTGGCACATGCTGAGCGTGTCCTAGCTGCTGTGTTAGCTCCTGGCCCCCAAATTAAAAATGTGAAGACCCACATGTGACCTGGGTTTGGACTAGCACAAAGACCCCAGCAGAGCCAATCCCCTCGTCAAAAGCTACAGAACTGCCTCTTTGCAGTGGAGAAGGAAGTCAGGATCATTAAGGGAAGGAGGAAATGAAAACATGCCTGACATGGTAAGTTCCAGTGTCATGACAAAATCCCATTTGAAATGTTTTCTTCAAAGTCTTCCTAGGGGCTGGAGTGATAGCACAGCGGGTAGGGTGCTTGCCTTGCACGCAGCCGACCCGGGTTTGATTCCCAGCATCCCATATGGTCCCCCGAGCACCGCCAGGAGTAATTCCTGAGTGCATAAGCCAGGAATAACCCCTGTACATTGCCGGGTATGACCCAAAAAGCGAAAAAAAAAAATACACAAAGTCTTCCTGTTCATGGGGCCAAGTAACAGTGCCACAGGCAAAGGGCTCGCCTTGCATGCGGCTGAAATGGGTTCAACCCTCCGCACCCCATGGTGTCCCGGCAGCCCTGCCAGGAGTGATCCCTGAGTGCACAGAGCCAGGAGTAAGCACCCTGGTTGTGACCCCCAAAACAAAACAAAAGTTTTCCTGTTCAGGGCCAGAGGGAGCTCCAGTGGTCTGGTTGGATCCCTGACACAGCGTGTACACCACAGCACCACCAGTGCCAAGAGCAACTCCCCAGTGCTGAGGACCACTGGGCATGTTCCAAACACAAGACAAAACAAAAACAAAAAGCCTTCCTGCTTGAAGTCAAAAAGAAGCCGCAACTGTTAGGGATGATAACAATTGCAGGCCTGTAACAAATGTATTTCCTTTTATTTGCTCGAACAATACCTGAAGTAATGGAAAATGGAATTAACAGAAAAGAAATCAATAAAAGTCAATCTGGGATGGAAAAACAAGTGTACAGAGGTAAAATGACAAAAGCACAAAGAAACAGAAGAAGCGGGGCTGGAGCGATAGCACAGCGGGTAGGGCATTTGTCTTGTACGCGGCCGATCCAGGTTTGATTCCCAGCATCCCATATGGTCCCCCGAGCATCACCAGGAGTGATTCCCAAGTGCAGAGCCAGGAGTAACCCCTGAGCATCGCCGAGTGTGACCCAAAAAGCAAAAAAAAATTTTTTTAAAAATGAAGGAAGTGATGGGATGCAATTGCAAGGTACAGAAGCACTTCGAGATAAACATTTTACTCAGCGATTCAGGGCAGGATGGCCAGGGTGAGTGTCATTCATCATCCCGAGAACTACTAGAACTACAGAGACGACGTGGCACACAGATGTGGGCAGGAAGCCAACAGAAGAGATTCAAAATGGGAAAAAAATCCAATAATGCAACGGCAAGTTGGCAAGGAAGGACAAAGTTGCTGAGATGAGACAGAACCAACGAGAAATGGGAAGATGAGAGATGACATCTTTGCAAACGATGGGGAACACTGACTACAAAAGGCATGAATAAAAGACCAGTGTTTGGAGCAATAGCATAGCAGGTAGGGTGTTTGCTTTGCACACGGCCAACCTGGGTTCGATCCCCAGCACCCCACAGGGTCCCCCAAGTCCCACCAGGAGGGATCCCTGAGCATAGAGCCAGGAGTCAGCCCGGAGCCAGCCCTGGGCGCTGGCAAAACTGACCACAGAGCCCCAAAGGGGTCATCAGCATCATCGCCTCCATCTCGGGTTGTCCGGGCAGAGGGGCCCTGGTACCCTCTCTCCAAAATTCTCCAACTGCATTGTGGGCCTTGGGGGCTAAATGGTGGGTTCGGAGGGTCATTGCCTCCTGCCATCTTCAACCTGGTGGGACGGCGATTGGTCGCTGCTCAAACATTCTGCCTGATAATCTGGGGGCCCGCAGTCACTGTAAAGGGGAAGGGGTGGGCCATGAGGGAGGGCGGTTGCCTGACTTCCAGGGCTGCGCTGGTGGATTCTGTCAGTTTAGGGGCCTCACCCAGCAGTGCTTAGGGTTGACTCCTGGCTCTGCGCTCACCTGGCTGGGCTTGGGGAAGGTGGGGATTGAACCCGGGTCGGCTGCAGGGAGGGCAAGTGGCCTCCCCGCTGTCCTTTCTCTGCAGTCCTGGGCTGCATTTCCACATCACTCACAGCAGATGGAGAGTTGGAACAGACTGTGCTGACACGCATGAACAGACACGCGGGTCTCCCCATCACACGGGGCACAGCCCCTGGCACGGCCGTTCCCGAACCCAGTGTCAGAGGAACACTTACCGGCTCTACCTCCGGGAAACGCTCGAGAAACTGTGCCACGTACGTCACGATAGACTGCTCATCTGGCGTATCCACCATGATGTCTGTGAAGGAACACAGGGGTCAGCAGGACACAGCACGGGCCACACCGCTCGCAGAATCACAAGGCCGGGGTCTCACACACCACCACGGGTGACACGCTGATCTCACACTTGCAAAAAGGTGGGGGTGGGAAGTCACCACGGCTCAGCCGGGCAGGCGAGTGGTGAGCGAGACCCCTCCTGATGGTGCCAGCTCCATCAGCCGGCTAGTTGCTAGACCAGAACTGCTCCTGGCTGCTGGCAGGACCCCCACATTAGCCGAACCCCTGTGGAAAGCAACTGGCCAAGTCAAATGCCTTAAAAGGGGCAAGCGTGGGGCTGGAGCGATAGCACAGCGGGTAGGGCGTTTGCCTTGCACATGGACGACCCAGGTTCGATTCCCAGCATCCCATATGGTCCCCTGAGCACCGCCAGGAGTAACTCCTGAGTGCAGAGCCAGGAGGAACCCCTGTATATCGCCGGGTGTGACCCCAAAAAAAAAAGCAAAACAAAAAAAAGGGGGGGCATGCATTCCCCAGCCTTGTTCTGTTCTGCTGTTGGGCCTGGTTCTAGCGAGAACCATCTGGAAGCCTGGCCGAGCTTCAGGCAGTACAAAGACCCCTGCAGTGCTCTACACAAGGAACTATGTCGGGGACAACCTTGGTATCCCACAGATGCTGGGGGAATTCTGCAAACCCGACACGGGTGACGAATGTAGCCCCATTAGTCACAAGGAAGGCACGAGCAATGTGCCAAATACTTAGTATCATGTTGTTAAGTGCAAGAAACAAGAGACGCATGGGGGGCTGGAGAAATAGCACAGCAGATAGGGCGTTTGCCTTGCATGCAGCCGACCCAAGTTCGATTCCCAGCATCCCATATTGTCCCCTGAGCATCACCAGGAGTAAGGCCTGAGTGCATGAGCCAGGAGTAACCCCTGTGCGTCGCTGGGTAGGAACCAAAAAAAAAGGGGAAAAAAGGGGAAAAAAGGGGGGGAGGGGGGCTGGAGTGATAGCACAGTGGGTAGGGACTTTGCCTTGCATGCGGCTGGCTCGGCCGAGCCGGGTTCGATTCTTCCACCCCTCTCGGAGAGCCCGGCAAGCTACCGAGAGTATCTCACCCGCACGGCAAAGCCTGGCAAGCTACCCGTGATGTATCTGATATGCCAAACACAGTAACAAGTCTCAAAATGGAGACGTTACTGGGCCCGCTCAAGCAAATCAATGAACAACGGTAGGACAGTGCTATGTTGTTAAGCGCAAGAAACAAGAGATGCGTGGGGGGCTGGAGCAATAGCACAGCAGGCAGGGTGTTTGCCTTGCATGCAGCCAACCCGAGTTCGACTCCCAGCATCTCATATGGTCCCCTGAGCACCAGCAGGAGTAACGCCTGAGTGCATAAGCCAGGAGTAACTCCTGTGCGTCGCTGGGCAAGACCCAAAAAAAAAGGGGAAAAAAGGAAAAAAAAGAGGGCGGGGGCGGCTGGAGCAATAGCACAGCAGGTAGGGCATTTGCCTTGCACACAGCAGACTCGGGTTCAATTCCCAGCATCCCATATGGTCCCCTGAGCACCGCCAGGAGTGATTCCTGAGTGCAGAGCCAGGAGTAACCCCTGAGCATCACCAGGTGTGACCCTAAAAGCAAAACAACAACAACAACAACAAAACAACAAAAAGAAGAGACAACAAGAGACACTTCTGCTCCAGGGAATGATCCCACTTTCAGACACTGTAATTCAGTGTATCAAAAAAACTTCTGAGAAATGATCTCAGAACTGGACCAGGAGGGCACTGGACCTCCGAGGAGGCTGCTTTAAGGGTGCAGCTGCTCTGCATGCAAGAGCCCCACGATTGCATGCAGGTCCCTGAGCACTGAGCTAGGAGCAGAGCCCAAGCACCAACAGGGGAATCTCGGAAGTCCCAAGCACCCGCAGCCCCCCAAATAGCCTCCTTTGGTTTTCCTGTGGTCCTGGGCCCGCGTCCGCGCAGCGACCGTCTCGGGAGAGCTACCTTCGGGCTCCAGGAGCCGCGGGATGTGCAACGCATCGTGCGCCACGCTGAAGGCCTTCTCCAGGTTCTCCCGCATCGGCAAATCCAGGGCCTGCTTCATGTCCACCAGGCTGGGGTCGATGGCCTTGATCACGGCCAGGAAGGCCAGCCCGCTCCTCCAGCTGCCCGTGAAGTCCTGCACGGCCACGCCGTACCTGCGTGAGAGCGGAACGGTCCCCTCTGTGCCCTTCCCGCGTGCCCGAAATAATCCTGGGGGCTCAATGGAGAAGCCAGCACCAGGGGCCACTTCTGCTTTGCATTGGGGGGCTTTGGGGCCACAGCCAGTGGCGCTCGGGGGCTGCTCCTGGCTCTATTCTCAAGGGTCTCTCACTGATGCTCCATGGTGCCAGGGTCTGAACTGGGGTCTGCTGCATGCAAGGGAGGTGCCTTAGCCGGGGCCTGACCAACCGAATGCCGGGCTAGAGCCTCCCCCTATAGGAACTCTCCCTTCTGCCCCTTCCCATCACCCTACCCCAGGAAGGGCCCCCTCCCATGCCCTGCAGACAAGTCGGGGTGGGGCTCACTTCCTCGTCTTCCGCTGCACCCACGCCAGCAGCGTCCTGATGGCCTTCCTCTGGTCTTTCACGGACAGGCCCGCACTCTCAGCCGTGGGGGTGGGAGGGAAGGAGGAGTCCGAGTCGGTGCCCCCTGAACCGGGTGATAGGCTGGAAGGGGGCGAGTTTCTGCTGAGGTTGCCCGTGAGCTCTTTAATCTGGAAGGGAAGCAATGGCGCGTCAGCCCGTGGTCACCCTACCCGGGCGGGCAGGCATCGCCCAAGGGAACCAGACTTTGATGTCACCGTCGGGCGCACTGAGGCCACCAACCTGCATCTGTCAGGGTGGGAACCAAGGGGTGGTACGTCCCTGCTTCTGGACCGGCCCCAGGGGCTCTCCCAGCTCTGTGGAGCCCCCTTTCCCCAGAGTGACCCTCTGCTGAGGTCCATTTTGCAACATGTCACAGGTGATCACAGTCCTCCCGCTCTTCATCGATTTGCTCGAGTGGGCCCAGTAACATTTCTATCAGGAGATTTGTTGTTACTGTGTTTGGCATATTGAATACGTCACAGGTAGCTTGCCAGGCTCTGTCATGCGGGCGAGATACTCTCGGTAGCTTGCCTGGCTCTCCGAGAGGGGCAGAGGAATCGAACTCGGGTTGGCCATGTTGGCTGCGTGCAAGGCAAACATCCTACCGCCGTGCTATTGCTCCAGCCCCTTGCAACAAGTAGAACAAATATATTTTTAACCCTATGGAACCCAGCAATCCCCAAGTGGAGGGGAACACTTCTGGAGAACAGGGTTCACCTGGCTTTTAAAATCTCTGGGATGACCCCTCTTCAGATGAAGCCCCAGCAACCATGAGCTTCCACAAGAAAGGTTAAGGTTCAGACCTTAACCTTTAAAGACCTGGTTAAGGTCTGGGTTCAGGGATTCCCAACTGAATCCCAAAATGGGTTAGCGCCCTACAGAGATGTCTCTGGACCCCAACCATTTATAATCTTAGAACGCTCTCATATTCAAAGTGAGCAGGAGAAAATAAATTATCTAGTGTCTGTCCCTGACAAGAAGGCTTGAATGGCGGTGGGAAAATTCGAGCAAACTCTAATGCCCAAAAGTAGAGAGAGTATTGGGGAAACTGTCTGCCAGAGGCAGGGGGAGGACTGGGATCGGGAGGGGGCTTAGTGGGGACATTGGTGGTGGAGAATGTGCACTGGTGGAGGGATGGGTGTTCAATCATTGTACGGCTGAAACTCAAACATGAAAGCTTTGTAACTGCATCTCACAGAGATTCAATAAAAAATAAAATAAAATTATTCAATGAGAGAGAGAGAGAGAGAGAGAGAGAGAGAGAGAGAGAAGAAAAGAAAAGTGTCTGCCATAGAGGCAGGCTGGGGTGGGGGTGAAACTGGGGACACTGGTAGTGGGAAATAATGCACTGGTGAAGGGACGGGTGTTGGAACATTATATGACTGAAACCCAACCACGAGCAACTTTATCTCCCGGTGATTCAATTTAAAAACTCTTTATAAAAAATTAGAAGCATAAAATCAAATCTCTGGGATCTGTAAGGGGAACAAGCCGAGCCGCCCAGTGCTGTGGCGAACACTCGGGTCCCGGGCAAGGGTCCCATCCACTCGCCCCCCCCTCCCCCAAGACTTGGCCAACATCCCGCCTTTACCTGGAAGAAGACGATGATGTTCCATATCAGCCCGAGAACCAAGGAGGGGTTGCCGTCTGCGATTTCCGCCGCATCGATGCTGACCAGTTTTACCTGTGGAGAAGCAAGTGTCGGGGAGGAGGGCAGAGTTGATGGGTCAGGCTCGGGAGGTATTAATATTTATTGATTTGGGGCTGGAGCGATAGCACAGTGGTAGGGTGTTTGCCTTGTGCAAAGCCGGCCCAGCCGAGCCGGGTTCGATTCCTCTGCCCCTCTCGGAGAGCCCGGCAAGCTCCCGAGAGTATCTCGCCCGCATGGCTAAGCCTGGCAAGCTCCCCGTGACGTATTCGATATGCCAAGCACAGTAACAACAAGTCTCCTGATGGAGATGTTACTGGGCCCGCTCGAGCAAATCGATGAACAACGGGAGGACAGTGCTACAGTGCTACAGTGATTTGGGGGTGGGGGAGGGGGCCAAACCCACCACCACTAAAAGCTACTCCTGGCGGGGCTGGAGCAATAGCACAGCGGGTAGGGTGTTTGCCTCACACGTGGACAACCCGGGTTCGAGTCCCAGCATCCCATATGGTCCCCCGAGCACCGCCAGGAGTAATTCCTGAGTGCAGAGCCAGGAGTAATCCCTGTGCATTGCCAGGTGTGACTCCCCCCTCCAAAAAAAAAGTTAATGGAGGTCTCAGCATTCTCAGTTGTATGAAGGAATCAGGTGACTTCTCTGCGCCCCCCCTCCGCCCGCCCCAGCTTGGGACTCTCCACCTGCTGCTGCTCCCCAATTCCGGGTTCTTAGAGAAGGTCCTCCCGGAGTGATCACTGTGCTGTGCGTCCACTGCAGCCCGCAAGGGAGCGCTCATGCCGCTTCCCCTTCTGGAAGACCCGGGGAGATCTTGATGGGGTGAGGGCAGAGTAACTGGGGGGCTCCAGGACACACAGGGGGTGCTATGGGGGTCCGAGAGGTGCCCGACTCTGAGTCCTGCCCAAGGGACGGCGGGCGGCAGGGGCACTCACGCTGCTCTCCTCCAGGAACTGAAGCGCCTTGGCGATGTTGTTCAGGCGGAAGATGCGGTGGGAGGAGGGTTTGTACTCGTGCAGCTGGAACACAGGGTAGGGGTGTGAGGGGCCGGGACTCCCAGGGCAGGGCACGTGAGAGGTCGGTGCACGGGAGTGGGGGGGTGGGGGGGTGGGGGGGGCGCAGGACAGACACATGGCCCAAGGCAGCCCCCGACACAGCACCCCATCCTCTGACCAAGTGCTCTGTGGGCAGTTATGCCAGCTGGACAGATGCAGCGCGAGAAAGAGGGAGACAGAAAGAGAGCGTGAGAGAGAGAGAGAGAGAGAGAGAGAGAGAGAGAGAGACAGAAAGAGAGAGAGATAGAGAGAGAACATGCAATACAGGAACAGAGCGAGGGACAGAGGATGAGACAGCGAGAACGTGAGGGAGAGTGCGAGAAAGACTCACAGAAGCGCAGCCTCTAATGACCTTCCTGCCCACCTTTGCCCCCCCAGCAGGACGTGACCCCTGGACCCCCGCCCCCAAGTCACTGCACCTGCCCCGCTGGTGGCCACCTGGGCCTGGGAGTGTTGCTCAGGCAGAAGTGAGCGCCAGTCAGGGAAACAGAACAGGGAGGTCCTTGCACTGAGGGGTAGGGGCTGTCACCCCCAAGTGTGTGCTCAGGAAGGGTCCCTGTGTGCGGGGAGCACGAGACAGACCACGCGGGGACCCCTGTACGCACCAGGCCGCGTCCCGACAGCACTTCTAGCAGGGCCATGAGGATCTTGCCATCCTGGATATCGACGAACAAGTCTTTCACTTCCAGGGGCGGGTCGCACTGGGGCACAGGGACAGAAGGCGGCAGTGAGTGGGGCGTGGGCCCCCGAGCATCTGTCTGACCTGGGGCACCCACATCTCTCGGGACCCCAGACCCCCGAGAGGCTCCCCAGATAGGGCACAAGGAGATGGCGGCTCCAAGCAGGCCCCTGAGGAGTGACGGAGAGTCGGGTGGGGATGTGCGGCCGGAAGGCATCTGAGGTCCCCAACATCACGGCACGAGGGGACGCACGAGTACTGCTCCATGGCTGCCCACTGCCCATCGGTAGGGCCCATGAGTCATGTTGTAAATCCCCAAATGGCCCTTGGCAGGAAGAAGGTTCCCCACGCCCATCGAGGGCCACCCTTCCCCTCCCATCTGGGGGTGCCCATGGCTGGGCCCCATGTTTGACAAGTCCACTCAGACCTGTGGGCCTACTCAGTGCGACCGGGTCTACACGCTGAAGGCACGACCCAGGCTGGTGCAACCCTCTCGTGCTCTGCAGAGGTGGCCCTGCCCAACCTCCAGGCCAGGTCTGGGCAGGGAGCCGGTCCCCAGGGGGTAAATTCTGCAAGGCTGTGCACATGTGGAACGAGCAGTGAGAGGGGTGAGCATACAGCTCACCCGCTGAACAGCAGATGGTGGGGGCCCGGAGGGACCCTTAACCCCTCCGGAGTCCCCAGACTGCAGATGCCTCGAAGTGAGGGCACCGGTGGGTGCATTCATGCTCATCTACCTTCTGTGCCCACTCAGACACGACAACAGATTACACTGCACAGAGACAACCCACGGACTATATTGTACAGACAATTCACAGATTACACTGTATAGATGAACCATGGATTACACTGTACAGACACAAACCACAGATTACATTGTACAGAAACGAACCACTATTACACTGTACAGAGAGAAGACACACGGATTACAATGTACAGACATGACCCACGGATTACACTGTATGGAGACATGACCCATGGATTGCACTGTACAGACACAACCCACAGATTACACAGTACAGATACAGGACCCACAGGTTACACAGTACAGAGACAAGACGCACGGATTACACTGTACAGAGACAAGACGCATGAATTACACGGTAGAGAGACAACCCACAGATTACACTGTACAGAGACAACCCACAGATTACACTGTACAGTGACATTACCCGTGGATTACACTGTACAGACACAAACCACAGATTACACTGTATAGACACGAACCATGGATTACACTGTACAGACATGACCCACGGATTACACAGTACAGAGACAAGACCCATGGATCACACTGTACAGAGACAAGACCCACGGATTACACTGTACAGACAATCCACAGATCACAGTGTACAGACACAACCCACAGATTCCACAGTACAGAGACAAGAAGCATGAATTACACTGTACAGAGACAAGACGCACAGATTATACTGCACAGAGTCAACCCACAGATTGCACTGTAGACAGACGACACAAAGATTATGCCATATGAGCATCCCTGCCCCAGGCCCCATCGGCTTATACCCATTCCCTGGCATCTGCTCACACCCACACGATCCACCCACTAAGGGGTCAGGGGGAATCCCTGCTCCCCACCCGCTGGCCAGCGCTGCCGCCCTGGCCTTGGCCTAGGGCCTGTCCCTAAGGAAAGGGCCTCAGAGGCCTCAGCTTTGGAACTGCCCGCCCTCCCGCCCCCGGACAGGGAACAAGGAATGAGCGGCAGCAGCCCCTGCTTCCCAAGCCTCATGGCCAGCCCATGGGGGTGGTGCCCCCCTCAGTCTGGGGCGCACTCTGGACAAGGCACGTCACCTGGGGAGTATCTCTGGGCCTCTGCTCCTCATCGTCCTCTTCCATCCCCGTCCCCCACCCCTGCTTCTCTTTCATACAAATGGTGGCCCTGGCCCCACCCACCCAGCTCTGGCTCTCCGGAGGGCCCCACAGGCTGAGGGGAGCTGGGGCAGGTCGAGAATAAACTGGTCCACAGCGCCCCCTTCAGGCCAACCAGTGCAGCTGCTGGAAGCCCATGTTCCGGGCTGGGGGTGGAGTCAGTACTGAGAAAGGGTCTCTAATTCTGTCCAGGACAGAAGGGCAACAATGCCTCCAAGGCAGCCAGCAGCGGGGACCAACAGCCACCGACTCTAGAGAACAGGATTCAGATGACTGGGCTCTCGCGAGCCTGGAAGCCGCTGACTGCTCAGACGGGAGCACTGGGCACCATGAGGGTCGTGAGACCGGTATTCATTCTGCTCCCGGGTACAGTGATAAAGGGCATCACAGAGACAGGATGCTGGGGGCAGAGAAGGGAGCGCCCAGTAGCCAACCAGAGCCAGGAGCACGGAGACCCCGGGGAAGTGACGCCTGACGCCCAGACCCCATTTCCAGCATCATTCATGTGGGCCAGGAGGGAAGATGGGGGGGGGTCCCTCCACCCTTTTGAGACCCCCGGGCCCGGGACTGAGAATACAGGCGAGTCCACCCCCAGGGCTGCAGAAGACGCTTTGCTCCCAGGGCCTTGGAATCAAAAAGGAAACGGTTTTATTTTTTTGTTTGCTTTTTGGGTCACACCCAGTGGCCATGCTCGAGGGACCAAATGGGATGCTGGGAATCGAACCCGGGTCGGGCCGCATGCAAGGCAAACCCGCTGTGCTATCACTCCAGTTCCAAAAAGGAAACGGTTTTTTATTTCACTTTGTTTCGGGGCCAGTGAGGGCTTGGGGGTGCCAGAGATCGAACCTGGGTTCAAGGAAGCAAAGCAAGTACTCCAGTCCTTTGGACAAGCTCCCATTCTCAGTGCAAACTCCCAGCACTGGGGTGATGGGGGTGGGGCAGGGGGACGCCGGGGTGACCTCCCATTACTCAGCCTCTTCCTGCTAATGTGCGACACAACACACAAGACCCCTGCCCACCCCCACCGCCCCCCACTCAGCCAGTCTTGCTCAAAGAACAAACCAATCTTCCCCTTCCCAGGCCTTGCCCGCGTTCCAAGGGGGACCAGGGAACAGCCATTTCCATGGCCAAGGGTGGGGGGTGGGGCGGCCGCGGCCCCTGGCCTTGGCGGGAAGCCAAGGGAGGCGGAGGGAGGAGAAAGTGAACCAGCTCCAGGGCAAACACCCCTCAGGGCCCGCAACGGCTCTGCCGGCTGGGCCGGCTGGGCTGCAGGACCTTGGGTCTGGCCCCTCCAACAGCACCCCAGGGCTTTCTGCAGGATCCAAGTCTCAGGGTGAATGGACGGATTTTTCCAGAAGCCAGAGCCTCAGTAAATATTTCTGACAGTCTTCAAATTGCAGTTAAGCCCAATTCCCGCCGGAGTTCCTGGGTTTCCTTCACATGAAAGGGGGTTCTTGAAAGGCTCAAGGTTGGAAACACGGCTGTTAATTTCGCCCCGTTTATTAGGCGGCGGGCTCAGGTGCCACCTGATTTATCTTCCGAGCGGGCACAGCCGCAAGCCCCGAGGAAGGGGCAGGAACGGAGCCAAGAACAGGCCCGCCGTGATAAATGCTCGCCGGGATCACTCGGGGCGCCGAGCCAGTGCCTGGGCTGTGCTCTCACCCGCTGGACTTTTCTCGGTGCTGATTTTTTAACTCAAAAAAATAAAAAAGCCCCAAGAATTATGCCTGGTGACAGTCCGTCCACCCAGAAGAATTTCCAGGTACCCCGACACACATCAGACATGCACCGAGGAATTCGGCCGACCTCGGTTGAGGGAACGGGGTTCCTACTTTGCCACCCCACTCCCCTCCCCCCAAACAACCCAAAATTAAAAAAAATAAAAATCATCAGCCTTAATAAGTACAGCTGAAAATGCAGCAATAGTCAAAAGCAACAGGAACGGGGGGATTGGGGGACGCATGTGGTGATTGGGCCGGTGATCGCCAAAGCAGAGAGGGGCGCACTTAAAGGGGGTGCAGACTCGGCTCAATGCGCCACTCGGGACCTGACCCCTCTCGGGGTCTCCAGAACCTCGGCTGTGTGCAGAGGAATCAACAACCACTTCCGGCCACAGGGGAGGGGACGGAAGTGACTTGGAATTCATGAAGGGAGGCGCCGGGTCCAGCAGTTAAAAAAGAAATGAGGCGGGTGGACGCAGGAGGCCAGAAGGCGGCGAGGGGGCCTGAGAAGCTGCTCTCACATGTAATAAAAGTTTCTCCTCTCCAATTCCGCGGGCCAAGTGGTGGGGGTGGGGGGGAGTCAAGGGGCTCATCGGGACAATCATGCAAGGCCGCCCCCAGGGAGGGAAACTCTGCTGGGTTCAGCGGTCCCCCACATGACCCCCGCCTCCCTTTCTGCCCATCCTGGGTCACAGGGGCAGCTCTCGGGCTGGCTGGGGCAAGAGTTTGCACCCAGATGTCCCAGCTGAGCCTCAGCGAAGTGGCAGGAGCCGGAGAAGGACCACCCAGGGGCGCACGTGACAAGCTGGAGGAACCAGTTTCCTCATGGGTCACGGTCCTCCCGTTGTTCATCGATTTGCTCAAGCGGACCCAATAATGTCTCCATCGTGAGACTTGTTGTTACTGTGTTTGGCATATGGAATACGTCATGGGTAGCTTCCATGAGGGCGAGATACACTCGGTAGCTTGCCGGGCTCTCCGAGAGAGGCGGAGGAATTGAACCGGACTCGGCTGAGCCAGTTGCGCACAAAGCAAACGCCCTACCGAACCGGATCAAAGGCTGAGCGATAGGACAGCCTTGTTTGCTTGCACGCTGTGGACCCAGGTTCGATCCCCAGCATCCCATATGGTACCGCCAGGAGTAATTCCTGAGTGCAGAGCCAGGAGTCACCCCTGAGCATTGCTGGGTGTGAACCAAAAAGCAAAAAAATAAAATATTCTTCTTTAAAAAAAGAAAAAGTTGGGGTAACCGGGCCCGTCCTCAGGCTCAATGGGACTGTGGACGCAAATGCACCACAGACCTGGTGAGTTCTGTGATCAGAGCAACGTGCGTGGCCAGCAGAGGCGAGTGGTCATCTGGCGTTGCCAAAAGGCACGCAGGGTTCCTAATTCCCATCAAAACTCTCGACTGCCCCCCGGACTCGCACCCTCGTTCCCCAACACACACCCACATGCTGGAACGTGGGGCGCCCCGTCCCACACCAGGCGCGAGGTGATGGAGGGCTTGGACCTTGGCTCCCTGGCTCCTCTCCTCCCTAGGAGATGCTAATTCCAGAGAACTGCGCCCAGAGACCCAGCTCTGAGACCCCCGCCCCAGGGGCTCCCCTGCATCCTGCCATGAAGGGGTCCCAGACGCTGGGAAGAAGGGGGGAAGAAGCGGCCCTTCCCCACACCCACGCACCCACGCACCCACGCACCCCTACCTTCTCCAGATGGAGGTTGATCCAGCGCGTGAAGGTCCTCTTCTGCACGTTCTCCCGTTCCACTGGAACAAAGGCACAGTGTCAGTGGGGCACCAGAAGGAGCCCCGCGCACACCCCACTGGCCTGCCCTGCCCTGTGGGACCCCCATGGCCCCTTCCCAAAAGGGGGCTGGCACGAGGGCACCCCCCTAGAATCCATCCCCTCTCAGCCCACTCCAGGGGACCCAAAGCAGATCAAAGGCGCACAAATCCAAACACGGAGCAAAAGGTCCTGCCACCCAGAGTGGGCACGTGGGCACTACGGCCCCAGGGGGAGAAGTGGGGGAGGGGGTGGGGAGAGCCACTTGCCTGGCAGGGGAGAGGGGGCACACTCAACCCAGCTGCCCTTGTGCTCTGCGGCCATGCCCACAGCTGACCTGCCTCCCCGCCCAGCCCCCTGCCCTGCCATCAAGCTGGGAGAGTCTGGAACTGTGGCACTCAGCAGGCAGGCACAGAAGCCATGCAGGGTCCTGTCCCTGGCCCAGCAACCCCGGTGAACTCCTTAGAACACCCCCTTCCAGCAAACCTGGCTTCCATCCTTGGCACCCCGTAGGGCCCCTGCACCCTGCCAGGATGGACCCGACCTGAGCACTGCCCAGTTGGCCCCCAAACCAAAGAAAGAGGAAACTTCCTTCCCAGGGTGCTTGCTGTGGAATGCGTGTGCCATACTTTATTGGCAAATTTTTTTCTCCCCTATGGGGGGGGGGTGTTGAAGGTGGGTGCTTGTGACCCCTGCCCTTCCGTGAAACTTAAAACTCAGAGAAGAAACCATTCTTTTATTCTGATTTTTCCAGAGGGCGACCCTAACGTGTAGGGTCTGGGACACGTTTCCTGGGAGAGAATCAGGACCCACGAGGTAGGTGTCCTACCCCAGAGCCTCCCTCCAGTACAGATGAATTCAGTGGAGGTTCAGGAGAAAATACCTCCCCCAGGGCAGAGGGGCAGAGGTGGGCGTCCACCCCCAAGTCCATCCGACCTCCCGCCCATTAGCTGGCATCCTGGAAACGGAAAGTCTCAGCGCCTCCAAGAATGGCAAAGGTGTCTGAATTGTGTGGAAACGGAGGCAGATGTCCACCCAGCGCTGCCTCTAGGACAGGTCCATTCACCGAATCTCACTTAGCTCTGCAGAGCCATGTCCCATCAGAACATTCCCATGGCCACGGTCCACTTGAGCCATCTGCCCCCATCAAAAGAGGGATTGTGCCCATTTTACAGATGAACAAACAGAGGCAGGTGCCAGTCTGCAGCCCTGGTGGGACTTACTACGCCCCATGGGCCTGGGTCTCTGCTCTGGAATTAGCTGACTCAGTGTCTGAGACCCCCCCGCCCCAGGGATGCTTCGAGGGTGGCAGCACCCGGGGGTGGTGGGAGGTTCTCTGTGGCGACAGCTGCAGCTGCCTCTCAGAAGTGACCCAGGAGCGTCTGAGCCTGCTGCCAACCCAGACGACTGGGTTCTGGGCCTGCCCGTCGGGAAGACCCCATCCCGACATTACCGTCTCACATTTCTCCCACCATGAGAAAATGTGAGGCAATTTCTCTCCTGGGGGAGACCCAAAAAAAAGAGGGGGGGGGGAGCGACCGCTTTCTCTAACGACTCTGGCTCTTTCTTCTCCCACAGCACATTATTAGGCTGATAGGGAGGCCCATAAATCAAATTTTAATATTGAGCCTTTCAATCTCTTTAATTGAAGAGCCAGCAGACAGTAATTGCGCCCATAACCGCCTCCCTCCCCGCCGCCCGTCTCCTCTGCAAGTCAGGCCCTTGGCAAGCAGGCTGACGGCTGGAAGAGCTCATCTGAGCAAACTCCATCTCCCAGCTCGGGACTGGGAGAGGGGCTGGAGGAGTCAGAGGAAGGGTCTGGAAGTTTCTAGAAACTTCTGGAAGACTGGGGAGGGCTGCTTGCTCGGCGGTTTTCTCTGTGACTGGGTGTTTCTGGCCCCTGCCTGCACACCCTGCAACCTCTCCCCCCTGCCGATGGCACCAGGCTCTACGGGGTTTGAGCTTGGAGGGACCCTGGCATGGACTGATGCCCCCGAGGGTGGGTCCAGCACACGAGAGTGGCAAAAGCCTCCTCGTGCTAGACCCCCATGCAGGGCTGTCGGGTGGGCACGCTCCAGACTTTATGAGCTGCTTCCAAGCTGCCCTCCCCAAAGGCTGGCCGTGTACACCCCACCCCCACCCGTCCTTAGCCAAGTTTATGGAACTGTAAAGTATTTACACGCACACTCAACAGCCTGCTCGCACCTCGGGGCTCCAGGGAGCAAAGGAGACCCCCCGAGGCAGACGTGAACTCGCCAGCAGGGCTCAGGGCACAGGGAAGGGAATGGTAAGTGAACCAGCCAAAGGGTGGATAGGAAGAAACACGTGTTGGCTAGTCCAGACAGACCTCGCTGACCCATCCACCCGTCTGTCCACGCATCCTTCCACCAGTCAGCACCTGTCCGTCACTATATACCCCTCACCTGTCCATCACCCACTCACCTGCCCGTCACTATGTCACCTGTCCACCACCTGTCCATCCACCCCTCAGCTGTTCGTCACTATACACCCCTCGCCTGTCCATCAACCACTCACCTGTCCATCCACCCACTTACTTTTCCATTACTCATACGCCCACCCCCATCTGTCCATCTACCCACTCACCTGTGTCACTATACATCCCCTCACCTGTCCATTCACTCACCCATTTGTCCATCCACCCCTCATCACTCTACACCCCCCTTATCTGTCAATCCACCCTCTCACCTGCCCGTCACTCACACACGCCCCCATCTGTCCACCCACCCAACTCACCTGTCCATCACTCATACAGGCCCTGTTTCCTTGACCCACCCCCTCCTTTCCTTCCTTCTACCCCATCGGCTCTTCCACCTTTGAACCCTTCCACCACCACCCCCCACCGTGGGCAGCACCATGGACCCTGGAAACTCTGCCAGATGCAGTGGGCAAAAGGAGAGATGAAGAATTCAGCGTTCCCGGAATTGGCACCCCAAGAACCCACGGCCAGGCCGGAGCCAGAGCACACACATGCAGGGAGAATGAGACCACTAGGGTCAGAGCGGGGGACAGGGGAGGCGCGCTCCGGGGCAGACGAGGACCTCACAGTAGATGCGGGTCCTGGGAGGCTGAGATGGCCAAGCTGGTGTCCGGCCCTGCCGCCCAGGCCACACGGGAATTGGCCTAAATCGGTTTTGAGGGCTCGGTGGGCCCACGGGAGGGCAGGGCCGGTTGAGGACGCGACTGAGTCACCGGGAGCAGTCACGTCCAGGCTAAAACGGGAAAGGGGGACAGTGCTTCCGAGTCGGAACTGGGGCGCCTCGCTCCGTCCTCCGGGAACAGAGAAGCAGGTCCACCCTTACGTGTCCAGCCCCCACTGGGCCACCTTGGCCAGCTCACAGCTTCCTGCACCCCCACTTCAGTCCCCCCCATGCTGCCTGGCATCGGGAGGACACCGCCCACCCCACCGGGCACCCCCACCCCCAAGCTGTGCCACAAGAAGACCAACCCCCTTCCCGGGCCCCCCACAGCGGGGCCGACTGCGAGCATGTGATGTGCTGTGTGGCCTTTCCTGGCCATCTTGACTGGGGGACCCCCCCACTCCCGCAGGCCTTCCTACTCCTGCCAGCTGAGACCCCATAAACTTTATATAGCTTCCATAAAGCCAAGGGTGCCTTTTCTCCACCGCCTCTCGCACGTTGTAAAGGGGTAGGGAAACGGCGCGTCCAAAGGCCCAGGCTTTCTCTCAAGCGCTGCCAGGGCCTGGCAGGGCTTGACAGGGCCACCGGAGAGTCGTGGGTGCAGGGAGACTTCCCTCTTAGCTGGCCTGCATGCCTGGGAGGGCAGCAAGTGGCTCGCCTGGCCCGGGACTGGGGTCGGGAGGGGGGCGGGACCCAGAAAGGAACACAGGAAGAGGGCTGTGGGTTCTCGCAAGGAAAACGGATTTACAGACCGTGGTCCCTGGTGCTGGAAACCTTCGTCCTCTATCAGGTTTCCACGCTTTAATCCCCACCCAGGAGAAAGAAATGGCGCTTTGGGGGCCTGAGAGGTAGGACAGAAGCGACACGGGTTCAATCCCCAAAACCCCAGTATGGTCCCCGGAGCATCACCAGGAGGGATCCCCGAGTGGAGACAGCCCTGAGCACCACTGGGCATGGCCCAATAACAAAATAAAAAAAAACGACACTTTGAAAAATCACAGGTTTGGGGCTGACAAGGCAGCACTGCTCACCTTGTCTATGGCTGACCTGAGCTCAAGACCTGGCACCCCGTATGGTACCCGGAGTCCATCAGGAATGATCCCTGAGTGCAAAGCCAGGAATAAGCCCCAAGCACAGCCAGGCATGGCCTCAAAACAACCCCACCAAAAAAAATTCATAAGATTGGGTGTGCAAAGATAAGTATGGGGGCTCTGGACAGACCAGGGGTCTATCCCGCAGCCCACATGCCCCCCAAGCAGCGCCACGGATGATCCCGAGGTGCAGAGCCAGAAGTAAACCCTAAGCACCATTGGGTGTGGCCCCCAAACCACCATCCCCCAAATATATAAATCACTTATATTTAAAAAGTAGTCATAGGAGGCTGGAGAGATAGCACAGCGGGTAGGGCGTTTGCCTTGCATGCGGCCGACCCGCGTTCAATTCCCAGCATCCCATATGATCCCCTGAGCACCGCCAGGAGTAACTCCTGAGTGCAGAGCCAGGAGGAACCCCTAAGCATCGCCAGGTGTGGCCCAAAAAGGAAAAAAAAGTAGTCATAAAGAAAATCATAGAAAAACATACCCAAACTCTTAAAATCTGTGTGTCCACCTGCAAACACTCCTGCACCTGGGTACATTCCTGCACACACACGTGCATCTGCACACACACCTGCACCTGAGTACATACCTACACACACACCTGCATCCTAGTACACACCTGTATACACACCTGCATCTGCACATACACACCTGTACTTGCACACACACCTGCACCTAAGTGTATGCCGGCACACACACACACACACACACACACCTGCACTGCACACA